GAGCACGTGTCCTGTTTCTCCACATTCTCTGCGTCTGCTGCCGCCAACAACCTCTCCAATGTTAGCTATGAACTTGCTCCTCCTCCTCCGCCGCCGCCGCCGCAGCAAATAGCTCTGGACCCCTTTGCTCGATTCCAGAACAACGTTGGTGTGCCTGCGTTTCCAAGCCTGAGGTCACTGCAGGAGAATCTTCAACTGCCTTTTCTACCTCCGGCCATAGCTCACGGTGGCTCCGGTGGAGACATGAACGGATGGGCCAAGCCGGAGGAGCAGACTGTAGCGGGTGGTGGTTCTGGCATGGCGCTGTGTCCGTCGGAGCTTGATTACGTGTGGGGTGGCTACTAGGTCTTCCATTAGACTTTTATGTCTTAGCTGACTGATAGGGGATTAGACCTGAAATCTATGTATGTTTCTATTATTGTGGGTTTGATGATGTTTTCGAGCGTTTCTAGATTTTAGCGAGTTTTAATGTACGTTATTGTTAAGGATGTTTTGGTGCTGTCAATTTTATCGGGGTTATGAATCAGATCCATTCATTATTATATATATAAAATCGAAGCATCTTGTTTCCACTCATTGTTGTATCAGCGCAGGATCATTTGGCAACTTTTTGCAACAGAACTCGACAATAGATTTTGGCGATGATCTGCTCAAGAGGTTATCTGGTCTGAGTATTATTATGGTGTCGGCTTTAATGGGATCAAAATATGAACCAACGTCTCTTTGGAAACGACTTAAAAGCTTTAGTAATTTCGTTAACTTGACAATCATTTTTGTTTTGTACTTTTTGTTGGTTTTCTCAATGACAACTAACCTTTTTTTTTCCATTCATTTTCCCTTCAATTTAGTGAAATTTTCATTTGTTCCCCACTCCGATGGCATACTACATTATTCTTGATATTTAGCACTTATGTCAGTACTGAAGCCAGGTTCTTATACTTGTCATGCTCATGATGTTCTTACTCTTGAAAAAGAAAAGATTATGTTCATACTCAGTTCATAGTTTACTATGAAAATACACTTTCACCTCTATATATTCACTTCACGGTATAATAGCTCAGATTCTAAACATAAAATTTATTTTATAGTGACTTCTAATTAATAATAATTTCCGAATCCCATGCCAATTCAACTAAGTTAACTTCCAAATCGAACATTTTTTAGATATAAAAATAACAGCATATTCAGACAGATCCCCATGAAGAGATGTATGGTTTGAATATGCGTTGATAATATAGAGACTAATCTCGCGCCATATACTCACCCTCCGGTCATAAATGTGTTGTTATACAAGAGGTAATGAACCACTGGATGGAAAAATAGAAGAAACAAGAATCATTAATCATTACCACGCAACTAGTTCGGCCAAGGCATTTACCTTTTAATACAAAATTTATGACAAAATTGTTCACATATATATCAAGCTTAGATGTACGTAAGAAGGGGATAAAGACTAGCAGTGGAAGAAGAAAGAGACTGTGACTGGGAGAGGTTATTATTAAGTTGGATGATTTAACCCAGATGGATAAAAGATCAGAGAGTTTGAACGTTTCGGTCTTGCCCAACAAGTAACAGCATCATTTAATAGGCAGTTGAAGAAGAGAAGAAGGAAGAAAGTGGTACGTACAAAGTGAAACAGAGGATGGTCCTGTGAGGAGGAAGAAGAGGAAGAAGGGGTGGCTCTGGTTCATTTTCACGTGGGGGCACTGAGACTGAGTCTAGGATTTTAGACTGAGGGACTTACTGTGCCTAAGTCGCTGCACCAACCCTACTTGGGAAGGGACAAATTTAATGCTCTCTCTGTTCACTTTCTTTCTTTTTTTATCTTTGCTTTTCCTTTTTTCTTCTGCAACCTTTCACAGCGGGCAGGGCAGGCCTCCCCATCAATCCAAACTATACCATATCACCACTCACACACTTCAATTAAATGCACCAACCCCTTCGGGTCTTCCCCCTTCACATTTTTTTCTTCTCTGTGGGGACTCCAAATAATTCTGTAACTGCTTAAAAAGAGTTGGAAGCACATGACACCGCCCATATCCATGGAAGGATAAAATCTGCATAACATATGACAGGTTGGATTATGGGTTTGGTATTGGTAATCAATGTTCTCTTTGAAATGCAGCATCAAGCAGACATGTAAATTAAATTCTCTTGACGTTTGCCCATATATTCTTTGCATTTAAATTTATGAAAGATAAATCTACCAGAACTCGTTTGCTAAGTAAACTATAGCATTCAGTAATGAATTTTACTATTTGGACTGCCTACTGATAAATATTCAGTGCTAGAAATGTACCCTGATAAAAACTCAGTGCTAGAAATGTACCCTCTTTCCCTTTGTGATTATTGAGCCATTACATCACAGGGATTTGGAATGATACATTATTCTTATATTATGCAATCTAAATCAGCAGGTTGGAAGTATCTTGGACTATCATCGATCACAAGTTCAAGCGTGATCAGTCATTTTCTTTTCTTTTTGCCAAATATAAGAGTCATACATGCTGAAACAAATGGGGAGCGTCGTATATTATAATAACTCACAAGGCAAATTAAGGGCGACCAATTATATTTTTTCCCCCTTTCCAAGGAGCAGTCTCATGCTGGAGAAATAGATACTTATGCAGATTTTGTGTTAAATCTTATTAACAGAATATTCATATCCCAACAAGTTCTACACTGAAGTCTATCGCTTATTTTAAATACAAGAGAATTATCCGTACTTTTCGTGGTTAATTAAAGCTAGTATAATGTGAAATCTCATCTTGGATGGTTTGTATTTTTTTTTTTTTAATCAGGCAACATAAACAAGACAATGTTGTGGGGGTCATCATTCAGCATCATCCAAAAAATCACAAGGCAAAGGGTGATCAGTTATATAGGGATCACAACACACTCCAAATAGCAAACAAATCATTACAATCACCTAGCAACCTTGTGACTTTCACAGAAATGGAGAAGGAGGATGGTTGTTTCAATAAGGAAACACTTCCATTGAAGCATTTCACTGAAGGCCATGACTTGTTAATTCCCAACAACAAAACACACGTCCTCGTCTGCTCTGCTCCCGCCATTCAACAGACCGGGTGGTTGCAGAAGAGAGCCACTCATGCAGAGCATCATGATGCTCTAGTACTTTGGACGAGCCACGTGGAAGGCTGTGATGGGGGTGCAAAGATGATAATGATGGTGATGATGAAATGGTCAGTGGACCCTAAGGTACATTAAGGTTGAAAATTGGGGGTGTGATCTGTGCATGATTGGGAAGGCAATGAGTACAGTACCAGATATGGATGGTGGGGGCGAGTCTGTGAGACCTTAGGCCATAGAACAAGACGCAGAAGGGAGCAGGATGAGCCAGCTGCGGTTGAACATAGAAATGGAATGGCACGCGAGGTACTACGTTTGAATGCAAAAACTTTTGGACATTTTCACAAACATTTGGTGGGTCTCAAACAAAAGAGAGAGAGAAGCTTTTTCCTAGCAATATATGTGCATCATGGCTTATCCTGCTTTGTGATGGGTCTGATATAACAAGGCAAAGAATAATAGGCAGGTGCTAATGTCCAAACGCCAAAAGCTAGGGTTTGGCATTTCTACAAACACAAGGGAATCATCAAGCTTGGAAACAGAGAAAGCACGATTAGTACTTGGGCTCTGTTCTTTCCATCTTCTTCTTCTTCATTGGTCCTTGAATTTACGCTTACTTACCCCGTTTGAGCTTTCCTTCTGCGATGAGATAAAGTATTTCAAAATCCACCTTTTATGCCCCTTTACTTGTGAGTTACGATGCAACATTTGAATAGTTCCTGGGCCCTTAGAAATGCTCTACTTCCATGCCAATTTTCACACCCGGGGGGGGGGGGGTGAATTGACAAAAATTTGAGGTTGGAACTTAACTCCTTCAAAATTTGATGGAACTATAACAAGCAGCGCCACCTTGATCAGCTCTTCTTATGGTGTGGATTTTCACCCTAATTGAACTTTTCTAGAGCAGGGTGGAATTGGAGTAGGATTAACAACAAAAAATCAACTGGTGAAAAAAAAAATGAAATCAGCATAATAAGTTCATCCACAGAAAACAAGAAAAAAAAATCTAATAAGATTTACGCAAGAAATTATGTTATTTATTGTTCATTACTGTGCATCCACTGCCTCATTTCTTTTTGAAATATATTTTTTTAACTAAATTTTATGTTTACAAATAACATTTTTTGACCAAAATTTTACAAAGAACATTTTTAATCCTAAAAAACTTTGCATTTTTTTCTGTTACAAAATGGGCGTATTTGGAGTATGATAATGATCACATTGATGATGAGATTCATATTTCAAAAGAAAAAAGGTACTGGGCTTGAACAGGTTAATCATTTCTGGGTTGGGCCAGGAAAGACGGCACCCGCTGAGGACGTTTTTGTATTTTTTTGGTCGAAAGGAAACTTTTTATATGGCACATATAGATATATATTTATATATATTTGGTAAGGATTTATATTGCACATATTCTTGGTCAAAAAAATATTGCACATATTAAATCCTACTCTAAAATGATGAAATCCTATATTAATCAGACCCTGTGATGAATTATACCAAATTGCAGCGGGCATACTATTTCCATTTATTAATTAACACTTATTAATAGTATACTTTTTATCTTTATGAACAAGATTTTCCTCTCTTTAAAAGAAGAATCAATAGAGAAACAAAGATTATAACAAGACTTTTTTCTGTTTCAACAAAAATCTCTTCTTGGAGGGAAAGGTCTAAGAAAAAGACATGAAGTGTCTTCCCTCGTATTTGGTTGATTAAATACAGTTAATGTCTTTCTAATTTTCTCTTTAATCACCTTTATTAAAAAAAATTGGAAACAAAATTCTCCATCTTTAAAAAACACATTAAAAAATTGTTAAAAAATTCACCAAGTCGAGGGTAGTAGTGTAAATGTGATTCGAAGTTTCGAGCACTGACGATAAGGGATAATGAGAGAGGAAGAAAAGAGCTGCCCGCAGAGCTCTGCGATAAGGAAGAGGGATGGCAACTGTTTCATGCTCATGGCTTACTCTTCCCTCCAAAATGAGAACCCTTTCGCTTACTTCCACTTCTTCTCCAGCTAATTCCGCTTCTCTTAGCTTTTCCAGAAGTCTTTCTTATAACGTCTTCTCGGAAGGTATTGTTTTTCTCTCGCACTTTTTGTTAATTCCCTTGGCAAGTTCAATTGTGTTCTTTTTCCTTCCGTATTTTCAGCTGAAGAATGCGTAGAATGTGATATGGTGGAGTTTGAATTCTGGGTTTTTGTTTGGCTTTCAGGTTGCTTGTCACTGAGCACATTACAAAGTAGGTCGATTCGGCATTCCGTGGTCTGTGACGCAGCTCCGAAGCGAAAGGCCGATTCGGCTGCAAAGAGAGCTCGCCAGGCCGAGAAACGCCGGGTTTATAACAAGGCCCGAAAATCCGAAATCAAAACCCGCATGAAGAAGGTACTCAATTATGTTTTGCGTTTTCTTCAACTCCATTTCTTCTATGGAGAGAGCATTTTTGGCTTGTCGGAATCTCTTTGCTTGATGAAAGGTTTCTTTCATCTTTGTATTTTACACTTTGTTGGGGCGAAGGGGGGCTATATCATGCTTTACATTGGAACAATCACAGTTCATGGGCTTAAATTGCGTTAGACTTGTTAAAAGCTGAACCGGGTTGCGAGAGATATTAAGGGGAAAAAAAACAATTCAGTCATGAGACTTCCTCATAGGATTTAAGCATCCGGGAGCTATGAGGTTTCGTGAGTTTATGCTGTGTCTAACTTTCAAGCATTAAGGGCTCTTGCACGAGGAAAAATATTAGAGATGTTAATAAAGTTATAGCCTATATCTGGCCTCTTGTTGAGAGCTTAAGCGTTTGGGATAGTTGGTTATTGACGCCAATATGTGCCTTCAGGCTACATATGGGGATGCTGCTTATAAATATGATTGTGAAATCGCGGTGGTTTAAGCTTCTTTCTCGTTTGCTTTCTTAACCCTCAGATATATAAATTTTGAATCAAATTGGCATATGTATTGGGACCGCTAACATATACTGTAGGGAGATGTGTATTTCTTTTATTCTATTAATCTTTTAGTGCATGCTCATATGTGTTGGAGTTCCTCTGATAAGATCGTGACGTTTTCGCCAACAAATTAGCATGCCAATTAGTATTCAGTAATGTACCGATATCCTAGTATTTGTCACTCTTAATAAACGTAGAGTGGGACAGACATTTTGGCTTGACTATACAAATAATTCTCTTGTAAGATACAGTTTAGAGTGGCGGGCTGTTTGTTAACTTTTTCCTTCTTTAGAGTCAATTAAGCAGAAGCATAAGCATGTCTGTCTGCTTTCCAGGACTGCTATTTCCATGTATAAGATTCAGAAGTCTTCTAGCATCCATCTTAGTTTATTTTTGAAGCTTGTCTTATTCTCTATTGTTATTCCTCCAAGCAACTTTTAGCTTTCATCAATATTTCTTTGGAATGGGTGATGTTTGATGGTTTCTAATCCTGATCTTCACTCTGCAGGTTTTGGAAGAATTGGATGTGCTTAGGAAGAAATCTGGGGCACAACCAGAAGAAATACTCCCTATTGAGAAACTGATTGGAGAGGCATTTTCAATAATTGACAAAGCAGTGAAAGTAGGCACGCTTCATAGAAACACTGGAGCAAGGCGTAAGTCGCGGCTTTCCAGAAGTAAGAAGGCTGTGGAAATCCATCATGGCTGGTACACCCCAACTCCTGCAGCCAGTGCATGAAACAATCTTTTCAGTAATTCGAAGAGATTGGAAAGGGCTTCTAAGGGAGGCTTGTATCTTTGTTCCTTTGGCCAAGGGTACTTTTCTGATCAGTTCAAACATTGTATGTAGTCTTGTGCATTTAGCCCAAAATGGTTTGATTTTCCCTGCGTACTATGTGAGATCATGACATTATTTAATAGCATTTTCATGTTTTCCCCTTTTGTAATGTTTGAGTACATGGTAACGACTAATTCATTTATTAGATTTGGACTATGGTGATTGCAACATAGCACAAGGCATTACGGCTGTAGATTATTTTCGCTTGCTTTTATTCACTGACATGGAGAAATTGACCGCAAGAGAAAATTTAATTTGATTGCGAAGACGAATGGTCAAACTCAATGCATAGAAATACAGAATAACTCGTTGGCATCAACATATGAATATACAAGAACTTGGCCATAATCACCTTGCCTCTTGATGATTGAGTCCTGCTAGTGTCACCTTTGGCACCTATGGAGTGACGAGTTCACCCTCAACCGTAATCCTGTGCCTTGCTGCTCTAGGGTTTTCAAGAGGACATCTCTTGGCGGTGAAAGAAAAGAACAGAGAGGAAAATTGATGTGCAGCTATAACCAGCCAATTTCTGTTCGTGAAAAATGTTCGCTGCAAAATAGTTAAACACAAGTGGGAATTAGAATTAACCTTCCTCCTTCCGAGCCTTAACATTACAATCTATCTCTCTATATAGGGATTCTTATATTTTTCCGGTGTTGTTATCGGATCATCTTTTTTAATTGATCTAAAATAGTCAGGATAACTCGAATCAAACCAATATCAGTGATCAGGATTACTCACATGTTGGTAATAAAAATCATTACCTATACATCTCGTTAAAGGAACAATTGGATCGTCTCTTTTTAATTGATCTAAAATAATCAGGATAACCCGAATCAGACCACTGTTAGTGACCAGGATTACTCACACGTTTGTAATAAAAATCACTAACATACATCTCGTTGAATGAAAATTTGTCAATGCGAGTATTTGGATTTGGAATGAAACAATCATCCATAATAAAACTGTCACGCAGGAAAGACATTGTGAATAGTTTGATGTTAACCATGTTGAACTGGTGGTTCTTCTCTGCCATTTCTAGTTTCTGATTAGCAATGACATCCTTGTCTATCAACTACTTGCTTTCTTCCAACTATCTTAAATTAATTACGAGTTGAAGGAGGCATTGCTTAGGGCTAAGAGATCTCTGGTACACTGCCCCCAACCCAAGATTTCCAATGCCTCTATTTATGTTTTCTTGTTTTGTGCTTCATCTAAGTTCATGGTATTTAGGAGCTTCTCAGTTCTCGGTTCAGGCACCATTCCCTTTAAAGTCATCTCCCTGAAATAACGCAGAGCTTCCTTGGTTCTCCCTTTTCCATAGTGACCATGAATCATAATTGTATACGATCTCCTATCAGGTCCCCACCCATGTTTTTCCATTCCTTCCCATGTTTTTCTTACTCCAACCTCAGAATCCCATCCCATGTACAACCTTAAAACCAGGTTGTATATGTCATCATTCATGGTGCATCCATTTCTCTCCATCATCTCCAACAGCATTGGAATTTCCTCCGGCCCCTTCACCGACGTGAGCAGGTAACTGTAAGTTACAGCATTGGGCATGCAGCTCCCTTTTCTCTGTAACATTTCATTTACTAATTCATCCACCTTTTCCTGACGTCCAATCTTACACATGTATTTGATGAGGCAATTGTAAGTTGCCACATTAGTGAGACACCCTCGTTTGTTCATGTCTTGAAAAACTTCAAGAGCCTCGGGAATCCTCTTCTTGAAACAAAGTGCGTCAATGATGCAATTGCATATGACAACATCTGGTTCGACCATACCTTTATCCCACATGCCTCTGAACAACTTCAGAGCCGTCCCCACTTTCCCCTTCTGTGTTAAAGCCTTAATGAAAGTCCCATATGTGAAAAGATCCGGCTTGCATCTAGATGCCATTATGTCTTTCCAGAACCTCTTTGCCTCGTAGACATTCCCAAGAACACACCAACCATTGAGAATGACATTCCATGTCTTTATATCCGGCGGAAACTCGTTTATCTTATTGCGAAACAGCGTCTCTGCATCTTCCACGTGCTTATACCTACACAGAGATATCAAAAGCGTCTGAAAAGCTGGCAAATCAAGCTCCATCCCGAACTCTTGCCTCCTGTAGAATATATCAATTGCTTCCTCTACCTTATGTGCAGCAGCATGCCTAGAAAGCAAAATCCTAAAGGTCACCTCATTTACGAGTCCCTTTCTCCTAGACATTTCATCGAACACCTGGTTCAGTTCCTCAAAGCGTTTCGCCCTCCCAAGAAGGTCAATAATCTCGTTGTAAACATCAGAACTAGGAGTATACCGACTTCTAGCACCTGCCTTAGAAGCCCAGCGGAAGAACACCACTGCTGGTCTCCAATCAGAACGGTGCCTCCTGAGAACTTTCAAAACAGAATCATGGTTCAACTCGAACCTAGATAGATCGAGAGCTCGCTCGATTTCCTCCGTCGGTTTGTCCCTTCGGAATTTTAGAAGTTTCTGAACGAAGACAGCTGATTCATCATATGCATCTCGAAAGTCTGCAACGGAATGCACGAATCGAGTTGTGCCAATGATTCCCAGAAATCGAAGAAGCTGGGGATGTCTAGCTCTAATCAAAGTTCCAGAACTTGGGTTCTGTAGGAGTCGGAGATAACTAAATTTGTGAAGGTGGGAGAGTAAAGACTTTGGAACAGTATGGTGACAGTGACAGTCTGTAAGGCGGAGGTTGAACGAAGATTTGAGTAATGCTATTGTTAGCAGCGGCCGGATCTTGCACGGCATATTTTTGGCGTCACAGCTCCGGCGGCAACCTGCGGGGCTCCGGTTAATCCAAAACGGAAATGGTTGGGAACGCGGGATTAAGTCATGCCATTGCATTCGACTTCCTCTGTATTTCATTTCCCATTTCTTTACGGTCCGTTCTCTCTATACATCAAACTTCGCGCCGGCGCCATGAAATGGTAGTTGTTGTTGTCGTTTTTTTGTTTTGTTAATGAAATCGTTTTACTTTAGTTGAATAAAATTGTCCTTTTATCCAAAAGAAACAGAGGATTAATATTCTCTGTCGAGGATTGAGATGTAAATTTATTTTTATTTTAATATCATTACATTATAAACTGATAGTTAATACTCCTCATTATGTTAATGTATGATCTAATTTGAAAATTAATACTCCTCCGGTCCTAATTATAAGACCCAATTGACTTATTTGAGGAGATTAAGGAAGTAAGTTAAGTTGGTTATTTATAATAAATAAGTGTTGTCATTCCTAAAATATCTTTGCTAATTAAGTATATTGGCTAAAACTATCATTATTAAAAAGATTATCTTGGAAAAAAAAGCATAAATATAAGAGACAAAATGGATTGGGTCTTATAATTAGGACCAAATAAAAAGTCAAATTGGGTCTTATAATAAGGACCGGAGGAGTATTAGTTTTATATGAAAAATTTATTTTGCATGTTTATTAATTTTATTTTAAATTAAATTTATTAATATTTTCCGGATAATAATCAAGTAAGAAAAAAATTAAGAAAATTAATTAAGATGTTTTTAAAATTAATTAATATTCTTAATCTATTTAAATTAAGTGATTAAATCTGACATTAAGGATTAAATTTACATTTGTTGTGAATTGAATGCTTTTTGGTCACTGCAGTGTAAAGAAGAGGTGGGCTTTCACGGGCCTTCGATTCATAACAGTTAATTGAATTCTTTCTCCAAATTGCCATATCTGACATGCAGAAATAGAACCAACGAGAGTTGAATTTAATAAGACGAATTAGTCTCTTATAATACGGTGAGATTCAAATCTATGCTAAAAGATATGTCTATGTTTTAGTACTCAATAATGACTCGAACAAAATTATTTTTAATAAAAAGATACATGTGATATGCTTACCAGAAAATTTACTTGACATGCAGAATGAGAATTGACATAGAAATGAAAGTTAAGAGATTAGTTAAAAACCAACAAAACATACCTGAGTCTTTGATTGTGATTTTAGAGATAATTAATACTCCTTCAGTCTTTAATATTAGACCCATTTAACTAATTTGATTATATTAAGAAAGTTAGGTAAGTTAGTTAATTATAAGAAATGTGACACGTTTTTCCTAAAATATCATAATCATTTTTCTTAATACCCCATCTTCCTCTTTTACTTGATTATGGTTGAGAGAGTATCCATATGGGTAATTTAGAGAAAATTGATAAATATGATAAATAGGTCTTATATTTATGACCAAAATCAACTCAACAATTGGACCCTATATTAAGGACAGGAGGAGTATAACATAATAATCATGTAAAATTGGAATGTTCCTCCTTTACTCACGCTAGACAGCTTAACAGATAATCCTCTCAGACAATTAAAGTTTATATAATATCCTTACAATGCATCAGACAAATCAATAATGAACAAGGAAAAAAGTTAGGAGTAACCGTTTTGGTAAAATGAGATATAGAGTCAATTTTAAGTAACAATAAATTGTCAATACAAAAATAAAAGACTTCATTTTTTAATTGCATCTCTAGTTTGCATCTCTAATTGCAAAAGATGGGTAAAGCGCCCCAGGCTATCTTGTGGATAAAGAAGAAAAAGAAACATTTTAATATGTCATAAAATAGTATATTTTTGTTTTTTAATAATTTTTTTAAAAGTAAAAATATCACAACCACACTTAAAAAAATTATTAAAAAAATGCAACTAAGAAATTTAAAGCCGTCCTTATCATGAGATGAGCATCTTACCCATTTGTTTTGAGGTGAGGCAGGGATCAATTCCAAGAGGTAGAAAGAAGAAAGAAGAAAGAAGGTTGCTTCTTTTTGTGTAACACACACTGGCATCAACCACTTCAATTACCTTTATCTTGGGATGGGGATTAGGGGAGCATCTAAGAAAATCTTTACGTGAGTGACTTATCAACGGAAAGTGTTTAATTAAGAGACAAATTAATTAAATGAGTGACAATTACGGAGGATCTAATATGCTTCGAAAACAGTAAAAACTGTACCAATATGGTAATTCTGTGGATAACCCGTCAGTGTTATGATATGAGAAACGGTGTTTAAATATATATAATAACCCAAAAGTCAGTATCATTTTCGTTATTAATTTTTGGGGTTTCTTTGTCACATCGACAGTTAAAACCATGCTGTCACACACACAGGCATTTTTTTAATTATTATTCTTATTATTTGTATTATTATTACTATTATTTTGGAATTCCAGCAACAGAAATAGACCAATAAATAAATTTAGTAGTAATTGTTGTTATTAAAGGCAAGAGGCCAAGGTCACATCGATGCCATTAACATAAATCAGTTAAGTTGTGTTCCTGCTGCCAAACTCAGCAGCGTATCAATTTTGCTTCGTTCATATTCAATTCAGTAGTTCGCCACAAAAACCCTGACGCTTTTTAATTACACTGTTTTAATATTATTATTATTTTTTTTGCCGAATTCAATTACACATTTTTGTCGGTCACATATTAATAGCGTTGCTTTATAATATCACCTACAGTTTTAATATAAAAGTTAGTTAATTAATTTGAATAGATTAAAAAATTAGTTAAACTAGTATTTATAATAAATAAATATTATTTTTTCTAAAATATCCTTGCCAATTAAGTGTACTGAAAGAACTATTGTTATTATAAGGATTATCTTAGAAAAATGAATAAATATAAAAGACAAAGTGAATGTAAGTCTTATATTTAAAATAAAAATAGAAGTCAAACAAACTCTTATACTACTTCTGGTCCTAATTATAAAACCTTATTTATAGTTTATAAATGATATCTTATAATTAGAATCAGAGGTAGTATTAAGAATCGTGTTAATTAGTGAACGAATATCTTAAAAATTATTTAAAAAGCACACTTTTTATCTCATATTATGAAAATTTGAATGCCCCACATCTACTTACACTCTACCTCCAAGTCTCACCTAATACTTGGACCCATGCATTATTTTTGTGCTCTATTTGTATAATAAATCTAGTGAAAGGGGCGAATATTTCATAACTTAGCAAATCGATATTTGAATTTTTATTACGAGAGGTGTTCACGAATATCTTAAATATAATTATTTTTAATAAAAGAATACCTCTATGTAGCAAAAACAATTCTTCTTTAAAATATAATTCAATATTATATGATATTAAAGTCACTTCCGAACTAGGGCAATTTCTATAAGCTTGCATGAAAAATTGAAATTCGGTCAAATAATTAAATTAACAAATTTTTTCATAAATAATATTTAAATAAAATAAAGTCATTGAAAAATTCCTTTTTAAAAATTTTACTGACAAAAAGATTTTATACATAAAAAGTATTTGTGACCTCTAGGATTTTATATACAGAAAGCATCAATATTTGAATTTCGGTCTTTTTAATCAATAAAATCTTCAAACCATAATCTCCACTGATTTTTTTCTTAAATAAATAAAAGCATGTTCAATTCAGTAGAGGTTTTGGAAAAAAAGAAAAAATTAGTATAAATCCAAAAAATATAATTATCAAAAAATCATAATGACAAGTGATTTCAAATATGTTGTCTTTTTCCATTTGTCATTACAAACTTTAAAATTGTTAACAAATTTTTAGATAATTAATCTTTTTTCTTGAGATGTAATAATAATTCTGCCCCCCAAAAAAATTTCATTTCTTGGATAATACTCTTCTGGTCCTATTTACAGGGTAGAGAAAGAAAGCATTTTTTAGTCCTGTTTAGAGGGCACTGGGAGAAATTTTTTATATAGATGTGTAATTTTACCCCTTATTTATTATTGCATTGATTTTGTTTATATGAGGTATAATGCATATTAAATAGAGATAAAGTTAAAAATTTATTAAATTTTAAATAAGAGTTAATAAAGTTTAAAATTTTTTTTGGTCTGTGTAAAAAAACTGAAAGTACCTTATAAATAGGATCAAATGAGTATTTGATAAAGACCCCTAATTTAGATTTTTTTTTTTAAATTAAAAAGGATTTTGGAGGCCGAAGGAAGAGCATCTGTACTGTCCCTAGTAGTACGATAAGAATACCACATCTGGCGCTGGGAACTTTAAGGGCGGCAGTACTCTCCTGTCTTTTTGAATTTTCATATTCAGTGGGGCGGCTGCTCCTGTCCCCCTTCAGGGATCACCCCTCCACGTGTTCTCATCCTAACTCAACTTCCCTTCTCTGCCGTCAGATACCATTATTTATTTTATTTTATTTTCGTGTCTCTGGGGGTGTGGGGGGGCTTTTCGGTCCAATCAATCAGAGATGTACACGCACGCATGCTGATCCGTCTCCCGCGGCGAGGAGGCGTGGCATGCCGACAAATGTTCCGTCGGAGGCAACAACAACAGCGCCTTTGTTCCGTTTTAACGACAGAGACGGCTTTTAACCGCCGTTAAGGAGAGATGACGCGGCGTCGCCACGTGCCCCTCCTCGCCCGCAGCAATTATTCATGGCGGGACCCACCATGCGCGCGGCTTGGGCGGCGCGGCCCTTTGCACGCATACGGTGCAGTCAACACACCTCGTTGACTGAGTCGAATATTTCTCTTTCTCTGTTTTTTTTTCCCTTGGCTTTGGATTTGGATAAATTGAATTGAACTGAGGGCGCCTCATCATGATCATGTGGTGCGCCAACCCACACGCTCCCCTCTCTTTCCTCTCCCCTGGACCACACTCTCCTTACACGTGTAAACTGCTTCCCCCCTCCTGCTCCCTTCAACCTCCCATTCATTTCTATTTCAGGTGCCGCCCCCCACCTTAGCAGCACCCCCCATCTCAGTAGCAGTACATCATTGTATTTTTTTCTTATCTTTCTTCCAGTTTGATATATATATATATGTGTATACTTCCTGAAAAAATAAGACTCTACAAAATAATAAATGAATTATGAGATTATATGATGAATTTAATAAAGTGATTTGTATTAAAAAATTTATACTTTATAAATAGGAATAAATAAAGCATCCAAATAATATATATACTGAATAATGATATCAGAAGCACTTACTCTGGTTCATAATATAAATTATGTGAAAAGTAATTAATATTTATTTATGAGTTTTATTTCAGTAATGAATGGTTAAATATGATTATTCTTTTTTTCAAAACTCTCATTTAATATTGGTAAAGCTGTGAACAAATTTTGAATTTAAAATAGATCGAATGAGTTAAATGAATTAGGCAGAATAACTTCAATTTATTCATATGGAAGCGAAGTATGGATCACATCAATCTCAAGCTTAAACCCAGGAACAATTTTAAGTATATATAAAATTGAGAGATAATATATTATTAAATAAAAATACAAAATAATTTAAATGGAAAAAGAAGAGAATAATGATGTGGGAAGTGAAAGTGGGATGAGGAGGGGGCGGGGGGAATGGATATAATGGGTAAAGAGGAAAGTGGCGGGAGAGGAGTGGAGAATGGCGAGCATACTATTACTATCCACCCAAGTGGAATGTGGTATGGAAGCCACGTTGAGGGTAAGCGTCAAGCGCCTAAAAGGAGCGTAGCTTTATTACACGCACGCACACACACCCACACTCTCTCTCTTTCTTCCTCTTCGCTTATATAACGCCTCCAACTCCGTTTGCTCTTCCTCAGACATTGTCTCCGTCTTTTCCTTCATCTTTCGTCCTCATTCTCTGGACTCTTATTTCTCTTGCTCCCTTTCCAATGGCTCCCCGAGACCCACCCATCTCCCTCGCTGCACCCACCGACCCCACTCTCTCCGCCAAAGAGATTCGCTATCGCGGCGTCAGGAAGAGGCCTTGGGGCCGTTACGCCGCCGAGATCCGGGACCCCGGTAAGAAAACCCGGGTTTGGCTTGGCACTTTTGACACCGCTGAGGAGGCGGCGCGTGCCTACGACAAAGCTGCGCGGGACTTCCGTGGAGCCAAGGCCAAGACCAATTTCCCCACTCCTTCTGAGCTTGTAAATAACACCAACAACTCCACCCGCAGTCCTAGCCAGAGCAGCACCCTGGATTCTTCGTCTCCGCCGCCGTTAGACCTTAGCCTCACGCCTCTTTGTACCGGCATCGGTGCTGCGGGCTTTCCCCTCATCCCCGTGGCTCGTCCCGTTGTGTTCTTCGACGCGTTTGCGAGGGCTGACAACATGAAAAGCGTTGGCCGCCGCGAGATGTGCGGGTTTGACCGCCCGGTGACCGATTTACGTCCCGACGCCCGTAGTGCGCAGAGTGACTCCGACTCGTCGTCTGTTGTGGACTATGTGCGTGCTCCCCAGCCCCGGAGGCTTCTGGATCTCGATCTTAACCTTGCTCCTCCGGCGGAAGTTGCTTGATCTGGCCTCGCTTCGAAGACCTGACGGCTTAAGATCTCTTTTCCCCACCATCATTCCATCGCTTTAATACTGTTAATGAGTGTTTTCCTAGTGAACCATTTTGGAAGAACAGAACCACTCTCTACGGAGAGACAAAGACAGAGGGGGTTCGTGTACGAGGACGTAGCTGACATGCTCGGATTTGTTGATGAGGATGACTCGAGCGGATGTGTATATAGATTATAACCCAAAGCAGGCGTTTTGTTTTTTTTTTTTTGGGCGAACCGAGAAGCTATTAGGAGATTCTCACTGTTGTTTCTGCAATTTATGTTGACCATATATAAAATTAATTCTATTTCTGATCTCGTTTAAAGATTGAACCTTTTGGTGAGCTCGCTTATTTCCGCCGTCGAGAGTAGGTTTAATGGTTACAGGTTAAATGGTAAAATTATTATGCAGAGCAGAGGGATGCCATTTGGGTCGGGGCTTGTTAAAAAAAAAAAAAAGAGGAACAGGATTTAAGAAGCGGTTGGTGAAGCGGTGGGATTTTCGTGCATTTTCCGATGAACCAAACAGGAAGGCAACTGACGTGGTCCTTACGGATTACGTTGGTTGAGATCTGACAGACATGTCGCCGGCATTGTTGCGCGTTTGATTGGGCATTGTCGTGTGGGTCTCTTGTTTCCTGATTGGTTCATATTTTTCACTTAAGATGATAGGCGACGCAATGTTGCTATTAGCCTTCATTTGTTCATTTGTTTGTTGGCTTGGATATACGGAGTACAACTTCCTTTTTAAATTATACTGGTAACTACTACTCTTCCGGTTCTAAATGTCAGACCTTTATACATATATATAAGGGTCTTACATTTAGGATTGGAGGAGTACATTGTTATTCTTAACATTTTAAATTTATGAGAAATTTATAAATTCTCATCTTAAAATGACACACACACACACGGTTTAGATTTGAGTTTGAATACTCCTTCAGTCCAGACTCATTAGATTAAGAAAATTAGATAAGTTAATTAATTATAAGAAAAATAATATATTTTTCTTTAAATATCATAATTATATTTCTTAATACCTCTTTTCTTTTTGTACGTGATTATAGTTGATAGAGTATTTATAGGAGTAATTTAAAAAAAACTGATAAATATAAAAAAATAGGTCTTATATTTAATATCAAAATTAATTTAAAAATTAGATCCTATATTAAGAACCGGATAAATATTTTTTTAGATTTGAAAACGTTACTGTGGCAAAAAAAAATGCATAGCATTTCTGGAGTCACTGTGGACCCCCCATTCAAACAAGAGGGAGCGTTAAGAAGCCCTTTTTTTTTTCCGGGGGTTTGCGTGGAGTAAAAAAGGCGGCAAGAATATTATGAATCATTACATGGAGCGTGCGGCGGGGAGTGATCAGTGGTGGTAAATTTTGAAGGATGGCGCGACGCGTATGGGATATGTCAATGTATTATACTACTTCCGGTCTTAATTATAAGAGTCAGTTGACTAATTTGAAAAAATTAAGAAAAAAATTAAGTTAGTTATTTGTAATAAATAGGTGTTGTCTTTCCTAAAATATCCTTACTAATCAAATATTTTAGTTAAAACTATAATTATTAGAAGGATTATCTTAAAAAAATATAGTGAATATAAGAGGCAGAATAGATTCGGGTCTTATATTTAGGATCAATATAAAAGTCAAACGGGATTTTATATTAAGGACAAGGGGTAGTATTATTCATTTTCTCATCTAATTCCTTCTTTTCTAACTTTTCTATTTAACCTGCTCTAGCAAAATAATTCAAAAGAAAAATAAAAAGCAATAAACAGGGGGAAAAATTAATAGTACAAACAAGGAGTGAGCTTGCATATTTTGTCGGCATTAATTTGCCTCTATTCTTCAACTCATTTATATCGGAGGAGTTGAAAAACAGGCGTAGGATAGGACAAAATGCATTATGTGCCACAACAATTGGGAGCAAATATTAAAAAAAAAAAAAAAAACGAAAGAACAGAGTAGGCATTTGGTGAGTGGAAAAGGCCACAAAGTTTGGTACAGTGTACTCCTATTTTGTGCTGCCGGAGATAGTGGCGATTGAAGGAGCAGAAAAGCAAGCCAGGGTTGAAACCACATTATTAGTAGGGTTTGGTCAAACTTCAAATAAATGGAGCACACGCTGACAACTAAAGTACCACAACACCAGGCTCACAAATCACAATTCCGTTGGCCGCCTTATTTTATTGCCCATGAAACTACCCAGTTTTCCCACAACCCCCTCTTTAACTCAAGGCTAATGCAATGACACAGAGGATAACATCATCAAGCAATTCTTTTTTATTTTTTAACATGCTCATCTTTACGCAGGGTTTCATATTATAAGTGTTATGTTAACGTTTTCAGTAGTTTTTTCTTCTTCTTTTTTGGGTTGGCAGTATTTATTTGTAACGGGAAGGGATAGCGTGAAGGAGGACTGGCAGGCGGGGCATAGGTATAAAATTCAGGGCGCTACCTCGTGATTGGTGTGATTCGTTGTCGTGTATTGGGGTGCTGCGAATCTCGATGCAACCCAATCCTACGCCCAATACCGGCTCCACCAACGTGTCATCCCTCGCTTACCCATATTTCTGTTAATACTCCTATTTACCCACCTTTTGTTGTTTTTTTTTTTTCAGTTTAAATGGTGGATCATTTTGGAGGGCAAGAATACCGGTTCGCTTCCTAACGGTACATGTACGGATTTTAATTAATACACATGAAACGAGTAAGGATATTCTAAAAAAAATAATACAAATTTAGTATACTTTATTTAAATTAAATAATTAGTTTTTACGTTCAGAAATTCAAGCGCATGTTTTAAATGGAGGCAAATACGAGTAGTGATAATGAGTTGGAGGGAGGCGGCAGGGGCGGCGAAAACGCGCGGGTGGGGGAAGAGAAGGCCAATGAGGAGGCGACATGTAAAAGGAGGTGGGGGGGCCCACAAGGGGATGAGCGTGTTGACTATGCAGCTGTCGGAGTTGATGTTGTCTTCACGTGATGTTTCAGCGCTGCTTCTTCCCTCTGCCCCCCACTTTTATTCCCTTCCTTCTCCTCCCCTCCTCTCCAATCCTAATCCCTTCCTGCGCTCTTTTATCTTCTTCCTTTTCTTAATTTAATACTAACCCATTGGTTTTTCCCCCTTTTTAATGAGGATCATGCCCTGCATGTACGCAACCTAATATATATATTCATTTCTTATACTACCCACCATCCGTCTTATCTTTTTCTTAATTTCGCTGCCCCCCCCCCCTTCCACTTTTTTAAAAAAAGTATTGCGGCCATCTGGTCACCTATCACGTTCCAACTTTGTGCCCTTTGAATAAAAGAAACGTAATAATTTCAGGTACTGTTATATATGATTCGGCGAATCAACCATGATATCGCCCAAGAACCGATTATTTTGACCTGCAGACACAGTCAGAAACAGAATGGCCGCCGATATGATAGATACGGATTAGAAGGAGTATGTGTGAATGTGTACGCTGTGGATTGGATGGTGTCCTCCATTTACTTTCCTGCTCACTCTCATCTCTTCGTCTTCCATGCCTTCATCCCAAAAGCGCTGTCGTATTCAATTCTCATGTTCAACCACCTTTGTTGGCCTCACTGTGCGCCTCTCATTATTTTACGCCATTTTCATATCCTTCACCTGCGGTCCCTGCTTCTTCCCTAATATAAGACCTTAATCCACTTTGTCTCTCATACTTACTCAATTTTTTAAGATCATCCTTCTAATAATTATAATTCTAGATAATACACTTGATTAGCAAGGATGTTTTATGGAAGATAACACCTATTTATTAGGACAAATAACTACTCAGCTCATTTCTTTAATATCCTCAAATTAGTCACTAATTAGGACCAGAGGTAGTATAAAAACTACTTGAGTATATTAAAAAAATTTATTAAGTCAATTGTCTATGATAAATAAGTTTTATTGATAATACGTATTAGATAGAATTATTAACTACTACTATCATTTATATATGGCACCAAAATTCCGGCACAATCCCCTTGTTTTCATTTATAATGAGCGCCGCCAATGTTTCCCCCGAATTTTTTTTAAAAAGAAAAAGGAAGCGGCCGAGTTATTATTCATTTAAATATGCTCAAATGGCGGCAAAAGGGAGGCCTCAAGACACACGAAATGGAGATACGAATCTGGACTGTATCACGATTTTATATATAATAATGACCAAAAATTAAAACAGGGAGACCTATTGACATTTTATTTATAAAAACATATTCATGCACAAAATTACCAAAATACCTTCTGCTTTTTGAAAAAATAACAGTCCTGCGATTGAAGATCCGGTGACAAGTTCAGATTTATTCATGTGACTTTTCCTGAGATCCAATGGCAAGAAGAGCGGGGGAGGATGGGGGGAACCAAGCAGGCGGCCGCAATTAATTGTTGTTTCTTATAATAATTAATTAAAAAATTGAGATGAGTGGAGAAAAGGAGGGGCCAGGAAAAGGGAGGGAGCGCGGCGGCCGCGAGGAGGGGATGGGTCCCACGGGGGAGGAATGGGGCGAAGCAGATAAAGGCCAAGCGGGGGATGTAGGGGTACCATGAAACCGAGGAAGAGCGGGTGGGAGGGAGACACGTGGAGGGGATCACGTGGGAAGGGGAGCGGGCAAAGAGTACGGAGCCACCAGTGGGGTCTGATGATGGACAGACAGTTAGAGTGGGCATCGGCGCGTCGGCGGATTTTCAATTCGCCCTTTCATTTATTTATTTATTTATGGTCGGTCTGAATGGACAGAATCCATATCCGTTACCTGGGAAAGGATGTTTCATGGCAGCCTTCATTTCATCTTTCCCTTTGCTTTCCCCGATTCCATTCGCCCGCATCTTCTCTTCCTCTTTTCTCTTCTTTCCTTTCGTGCCCGTCACGCCGATTTCTTCAAAACAAAAATTGCTCAAAATGGTCCCATTAATTTTTTTTTGTATTAAAAGTTTAAGTGAATCAGATCCGAAAATTCAGGATATATTTCTAGACTCAAAAAATATTTATAGAGATATTTACAAATCGTTTATTAATTAAATCTTCGTACCAACAGCGGGATTCAAACTCATTACCTTATAAGTTATAAGCTAACTCTTTACTAACTAAATCAACTCCTTAATTAAAATATTTATAACCAAAGCTACGTGAAATTTATCCTAAATCCCCAAAAAAAATCTTCTTCACTTGTAAATAATAGTGCCTAAATATAAGACCTATTTGTAAATATTTGCCTTCTGTTTTTTCTCTTAAAAAAAGATGCGCAGCTCATCTTAACAGACGCAATCTTTTAATAAGGAAAAATAGTTTTAATGGT